CGTGTCTAGAGTAGAGATCGAAGAGTCAGACCTTCGTATCAGATCGGACATCGACCAACCACCTGAGACTGTCGATGAGATCATTGAGATCGTGGGCGATCACTACAAGGCTGCCCTTGCCGAAGGTTACCAGGACCCGCAGGATGACGCTCTTGAATCCGATGATGAAGAGATTGTTTTCAAACAGCAAATCGTCGGAGGTTCAAGCGCGCTGGAAAGCGTTGCCGATAAAATGAAGTTCAACAAGATCTATGCAGCCCAATACCTTGAAGGGGGCGCATTGCATCTATCGAGGAACCCGCATGGAGCAATCTCCATGTCGAGCAACGCCCTGCGCCATTACACCGAGGCGGTCACAGGCAGAACTCTTCCTTTGCACTTCGTCGACGATGACGGAGACGATGATGAACTCCCGCCACCGCCACCACCGGCGGAACCTTGCCCGTACAAACGGGACAAGGACGGAGTTCACCGCCCGGTTGCGGAGGAACTGCCTGCCCTCAAAAGGAAGACTGCCGCTGATCTCGGTGCGGCTCCTAAGGCGAAGGCAGCACCAGACAGCCTCAAGAAGCTCCGAACTGGAGACAAAGTCGTGAATGTCGACATGTCCAGCTCGGCGGAAGCCGGAGCCAAGAAAGGCTCATCAGAGGTGGTCGACGTTGAAATGGAAGAAACGGCAGGGACATCATCATCTTCTGCCAATCCTCCCAAGGCGAAACACATGCCAAAGCCATCATCCGTGCCCAAAGCCGCAGCATCGAGTTCTGCGGCCCCCGGAAGGGATGCGCCCAAATTGGTCCCAGCAGGAGGAACTCCGATCCGTACGACAATGCCGGCAAACCAAGTGCCTGGTGCCGCGGTGATCGGGTGGTATGACCAGGAGCAGTTCTTTGTTTCAAAGCGTGTCTCCGGCCTGCTGCGAGGGCATAACCATGCCAATCGACGAGATCGCATTCCGCTTCCGGACTTCCAAGATGGAGCATGGATGCGGTGTTCTCATTCATCAAGAGGAGGTACTCCCGCTCCCTCACTGTGTCGGACTCGATTGACATCGTGACGTCAAACCATAGGTTTATGCTCGATGTTCAGCTTGCCCGCGAGGGGGAACTCTTCGCTGAAAAGTATCTCTTCCTGCCGGTGCGAATCAAGGCAATCCAATCTCACAACGACTGGATCCTGGAGAACATCAACATGGCGTGGCCTGAGGTCGACAGAATCATCTGTCTTGATCCGTCGTTCACGATCGAACGCCTGCTGCGAAGGGAGCATCCTACGCTTCCAGTACGACTTGACTTGCACCTCAAGGACATTCACCCCAAGGTCTTGTACCACTACACTCATATCGCCTTCTTGGATGATGTGATCCGATGTGGCATTTGTCCGGGGGGACTCAGGACTAGCAAGGCTCATTCGTACTTCTCGGCTTTCGATCCGTGGAGTATTCAGAAGACGAGTCAAGCAGGAATGGCCTCGACCAGACCAGTTGCGGTCGCAGTTGATGTCGAGATGGCGGTGTCATATGGAATCAGGTTCGCCGTCACTCAAAGCCAGGCCGTTGTGACCACTGATTGGGTTCCGAACCAATTCCTCATCTATGCGTATGATGTGTCAGCAAAATGCTTCATCTATGCGAATCACGATTATGCAAAAGAGAGAGCCTCATTCAATCAGGATCTCCGAGACATTGTCGTGCGTCGCCGGGAACGGCTTGACCGTGGTGATGAGGCAGACGACAACGCAAGAAGGCAGTCATTGCTGGCAAGGTCTAGGTGAGACCTGTTCGGAAAATATGAGAAATGGGTGCATGGGGCCTGGGTGGAAAATGCCTTCATCCTCGAATCATACAACCGTGAATTCTGCAAGGATCAGCTCGAGCATGCAGATGCCAATATCGGAACGTATTCAACTCCGTACATGGCAATTGCATGGCAGCCGGAAGGCGATGCCCCCAACAACTCGGCATGGCCTCTCTCGCTGGGATCAGTTGATTGGGCGCATTGGACCCCTGAGATGGAGATGCGCTATGATCCTCGGGGAAACGAAAAGTTCTTCACTTCACGGTGGATCACCGTTCGCCAACACGACGTTGAGCCACAGCATTGCATGGACTGCGGATCCGATTCCCCATTCGGATGTTTGTCGTGCTTGAACTGTGGACGACTAGCTCGTGTTGCTACGGATATGAGGAAGGCATCGCTGCTTGTCCGTCTTGAAAACTTGGCCGCAAGCTTCGGTTTCGACTTGTCATTGGACATGTTCCCGGATGACGATATTCGTGCCCGGGGGGACCGAGGGCTGAGGAATCCTGCAGGTGGTAGGATCAGGACTGGACAATCTGCCATTGCAACGATCCGAGCACACGCCAAGTCGCACATGGACAAAGCGTCCAAATTGGAATTTGGCTCGCTCACAGAGCGGTTGTGCATGGATCCATTCTACGCGTTCAACTGCGCGGCGCAGGACATGTCCCCTGACTGTTTGAAGTTTTTGCAACGACTCAGTTCAGCGGTATTGCCCATTCCAACGCGCACCGCCCAACAAATCCAAGAAGGGGTAGGCGTCAATGTGAAAGCGAAGATCTTGATGATTCCCGACACAACTCAGCGAGAAGTCGATGTATCGAACGAGGTCTTTGTCTTCTGGAAGAACAAGATCCTACGCCCTGGTGTCTTTGTCGGACTGTACGCAATGGAACACCACCGCTTCGAAGTATTGGGGTTCTCTGGTTCATTCCTCTCGGAAGAGAAGGACGTTGAGAAGCTGAAAACGGAGTTTGTTGGATGGCTGTCATCCGACCTCCAGAGCATCCCGTCCTATGAGAACCTCGTGCGAGCAGACCCAAGGAACATCCATGTTCCGGAAAGAGAGGGTGTCGATCGGGCAAAAGGGAAAGGTAAGGGCACATATGGCGCCACGGAGGTCGACAGACCCGTGAGAATGCACCTTACCCAAGGAATCGATGGGCCCGTGACTGGAGGGACCTCGATGATGACGTTGGTACCATCCCAGGTTGGCGCTATGCAGATTGGACCTGGTACCAAGATAACTACGGAGCGGACTGGTGGGGTCGCGGCCGATAAACCCCACCTATGCACGGCGGGAGCCGATGCCTTATGACAGTTGTGCTGTTCTTTTCATCCAGTGCTTGTGGTAGCGCATTGTCTTTCTAGGCGTCGACATGCTCTCGAAAGTCCTTGCACGCGCTGCGGAAGCAGTTGCCTCACGTCATCTTCTTTGAGGCGATCCGCAATCTTTGCAAGGCTCAAATTCGATTTAGCCGAAGTGCACTCTTCCTGAAACGGAAGCATCACTAATTATGCCGCGTGGAAACGTGTGCCTACGTAAAAGGCCCATTTCCAGTTGACGATCCGCGGATGCATGTGAAAAGAGCTGCGTCCGACTGCAAATCGTCCGTTCGGCATTATACTTCATAATCAATCGGGTTAATCGTCGTTCCCCCGCGCCTCAGGTCGGCAAAGAATCTATGAAAGCCGCAGGCACGTACGGTGTTAACCATAAAAGGAAACACCGGGGAACCGGAGGTCAGATCAGTATGCACATTGTCCCGTGTACATAGTCGTGTATAGTGTTCTTCACTACCTTTGCTGCCAAGTGCGTTCAGCGGGGGGTGTATTTGCACGATTGTACACCTGTACATACCATATTGACCTCTATGTTTGGCTCAAGAAAAGGGCGCTCTACATGTTGGTACTTGTAGGCTGTTGGCCTGTAAATTCAAGTAGAGTGCAGTCCTGACCACAGTTGCTAGATAGGCTCGTTCTTGCAGCAGCTCATCCTGGCAAAGTTTCAGGAAGCTTCACTTCGGAGTTGGTAAAATTGGCTGGGCAGACCAATGGGGAAAGGTGGTGGCGATCGAAGTCCAAGGCCACGTGTGCAGTGGGCATGGCCTTAAGGTCAGTGAACTTGAATTCATCACAAGTGGACCCCAAAGCCTTGCTAAGCAATCTACCCTGCGACATGGGTGAATCTCTTCAAGGATCTGCTGTGTCCTAGGGTCTTGAAATCACAGCTGGCTGAGAATCACTGACAACAGCGCAGCTAGCTGAGAGGAAGGCACTGGCGATAAGTCCAAGGCTGCGTTCTGCGATGAAACCAAAAATGCAGGGCACTATCCCACAAAAATTGCACACGCAGGTAAATAAACATCTGAAGTTAGTGTCCTGTCTGCGAAGCCGTGGCGGAGTTCTAGAACGCGAAGGCATGACCTTCCAACTAAAGGGGTCCAAATACTGAATACTATAGCTAGTATTAGCTAGTCTTTGATAAAAACCCTTGCCTCCAACCCACCAACGAGGGCCCAAGAAAAACCAGAAATGGCTGCGAAAGACGCGGGCCTCTGAAAAAGAAAACTCCAGCCCCCAACCCCGTCCAACCCTCAAAAAACTACAGGTCCTGGGTTGAACTACTGTAGTTCCAACAAGGTCAAACCGAGTCGGTTACCAAGTAAGGGAGGCTACAGCGTTGTGTGTTCAAATGCACCAAGCATGCACAAAGCAAAAGTAATGCAAGGCATGGCTCAAATTGGCTGATGCTAGAGCACAGCTTCTTCAGAGTAGTGCAAGGCATGGCTCAACATGGTTGATGCTATAGTTCTCTTTTTTGAGCATGATTTTTTCAAACTTCTGGATGCGCAGCAAACAACTGAACAAGAGGAATTCAGAATCTTGATGAGTGTGGCACTTAATATGAACCTTGAAGGACGTCAAGGTCTGTGGGAGATCGCTTGCTCTGACAACAGCTGGCTGACGGCTTCAGCTCAGCAACATGGCATCAGTGGTCGTCGCATCAACTACCTCCAGGGCTATGACATCTACAAGCAAGAGACTTGGGAACGTCTCAAAGCCGAACGACGTCGTGACCGACCTCGGAAACTTTGGTTCTCTCTGCCCTGCACGAAATGGTGCCAATGGAGTCATGTCAACTATAACACGCCGGAGAAGCGTGAGGTCCTTGAAAGCCATCGAAGGCGTGAGAGAAGGATGCTTCGATGGGCTGCAGACTTCATCCTTGACACCATGGACAACGACCCCAACGTTGACGTCTACTTCGAATGGACCTTCCCCTGCTCTGGATGGACACAACATCCTATGGTGTTCTTGGAACATGAGCTTCGCAAGCGCTCCATTCCCTGGGAGTCATGTCGCATTGATGGTTGCAACTATGGCGTGCGAGATCGCAACAACGACCTCTTCCTGCACAAGCGCTGGCTCATCAAGACCACTGACGAGCTCTTCCACAAGAACTTCAGAGCAAAGGTCTGTCCCAAGAATCATCGACGCACTCTGATTGAAGGCATCGAAACATCAAGATCGGCATACTATCCCCGCCGAATGGTGGAAGCCATTGTTCGTCACTGGAAGCGAGAACTTGTTCCTCTACGGCATCTCAAATACCTCACCACTGGCTCCAGTGAAGCCGATCATGAAGTTGAGAACTGGATGAGAAGGCAAAAGCTTCTTCATGAACCTGATGCTCTTCCAGCAGAACTCGTTCCTGATGATGATGATCCTCCCGAACAGCCAGAGGAAGCCAATCCTCTAGCAGAAATTTCCAAGAAGGAGCAAGATCAATGGCTGGCTCGGCTTCGACATTATCATCGTGCTGCTGGACACCCGAGCAATCGCAGCCTTCAACGTCTGTCCAAAGATGCTGGACTACCGGCATGGAAGCTTCACATGGCTAAGAACTTTGTCTGTGAAACCTGTCAAAGCCTCAAGCTTGGTGGCTACAGTTCTGGCAAGGTTCCTCCAGCTTCAACACACTCGCTCTACAAGGCATGGCAGGCTGTGGGCGTTGACGCCTCTGAGTGGTTAGCGCCAAATCAAAAGGTGAAGCTACGCTTTTTGCTGTTCATTGACCTGGCCACAAAGCTCAAGTCGATCTATGTGGTCAAACAGTATGACTTCCTCCAGATGCAAGGTGAGACGGCAACAGAAGTCATCACCGGCTTCTCTGAACGATGGCTTGTGGACAAGCCAAAACCTGAAATCCTCGTGCCCGACAACTCCAAGACCTTCAAGAGTCGCGAGATGCACGACTTCTGCAGCAGCATTGGTATTCAATTGGCCTGTCCTGCTGAAAAGGAGTCATGGGCACATGGCGTTGTCGAATCTGCCATCAAAGATCTCAAGATGACAGCTTCAGCCATTCAAATTGATCAACCACATCTCAATCCACGTGTGAGTTTGATGCTTGCACGTGCAGCTCTCAACTCCACCGAGTACACCAAGGGCTACTCTGCCTTTCAATGGTGCTACGGCGAGGACTACACCCTGGCCGATGAAGACCTGAGAACGTTCCGAGAGTTTGAAAACTATGAGGACCACATGTCCTACGAGTCCCTGGTCCGAGCTCGACAAGATGCCGAAACCGTGGCTCGAAAGACAACTTCGAGTCATGAGCAAACTCAAGAATAGCAATGTTCGCCAACCTCTTCGCACTTTTCACCCGACTCAACTGGTGAAAGTGTGGCGACCTGAATGGCCGGCTTCCTTGTACCAAGGCCGGCGAGGTGGATCCAAGAAAGCTCGAAAGCCACAATGGGTTGGACCTGGAAGAGTAGTCTTTCATGAGGTGCTTGGTCATCAACAGCCCGAAAATCAACGACGTCACATCGTTTGGGTTGTGACCGGATCCCAACTGATGAGATGCTCTGTCCACTCGGTCAGACCAGTCACTCCGGCCGAGCAGATGACCTACGAGCTGAGCACCCGTGAAGATCCCACACAATGGAGATCCATCTCCGACCTCCTGCCGAAGAAAGACTTCATCGACATCGCCGATCAGCCTCCTGGCGAAGACGATCGTGAAGCTCCAGATCTACCAGATCAACCTGATCCTGAGACCATGCTGGTCCCCATTCGCAGAGCTGTTGGCAAAACAACAGTCCCTCCTGAGGAGATGCTGACCCAAACGGCGTGAGAGAAATGAACTGAGCCTCCACCTATGGTCAATGACTATGAACCCACGTCACCTGAGGAAGTTGAGGAGCCTCCTGAGAAGATTCCAAGGCGTGAAGAAGTCAGCGCCTTTTCATCATCCTCTGCAAGAGCCTCACCCTCAGCAATTCCTGGACGTGACTTAAGTTCCAACGGCTGATAACCTCATGTGGATCAACTACATGATTGAGGAGGAGGACAAACAGTGGAAGATCCTTCAGGCAGCCATTGCAGATGACAACGAGGTCTTCACCATTGAGCTTGACCTCGACTTGGACTCCAATAGATCCAAGAAGGCCTTCCTGAACAACCCATCAGCATTTCTGGTCAAAAAGATGCGTGACAGCGAGGTCGTCTTTGGCAAACTTTCCAAGGAACATCAAGCACTCTTCAACAGAGCAAAAGCCAAAGAGGTATCCAGTTTCGCCCAGAACCAGGCCGTGAGAAAATGTCTGGATGATCAAGAGATCAAAGAAGCTCGTGGCTCTGGCCGTGTTCTACGTGCCCGATGGGTCCTTGTCTGGAAATTGCTGCCTCCTGAAGATCGTGCCGACGCCAAGAAGGACGCTGTTGAGAACGCCAAGACAGTCCACACCCGTGAAGGAGACCGAAAGGCCAAGGCTCGCATTGTTCTCCTCGGCTATGAGCACCCCGAGCTGGGCTCCACCGACTACAAGACCAGCAGTCCTGTGCAGTCAGTTCTTGCCCGAAACCTCCTATACCAAATGGTATGCCAACATGATTGGCTTCTTGAAGGGTTAGACCTCGCCACTGCCTTCCTGCAGACGAAGCCGACATCCGCAGATGCAAAGCTGTGGACTACAGGTGTCGCTGAACTCCGTGAAGCTCTCCAAGTGGGTCCCGAAGGAGTCATGAAGATCATGAAAAGCATATACGGCAGCACCACGGCTCCAAGAGGTCTGTGGCTCGACCTGCACGAGACCCTGTGCAAGCTTGGCGGTCGACCCTGCATGGGAGAAAGATGCCTGTGGATCTGGACAAGTGCCTCCCGCAAGGATGAGCGTGGTGTTCCCTTGGTCATCGGCATGATGGGCGGACACGTCGACGACTTTCACCGCATTGGCAGCCCGCATGATGAGGAGTGGGCAGCGGTCAAACGGTCCATCGACGAGGCCTACACCTGGGGCACTGCAAAGGTTGGCTCTTATCGTCACGCAGGCACTGACATTGAGGTCACCAGAGACCGCGATGGCGACCAGGTCATCACTGTGAACCAGCAGTATTATGTAGATATGCTTTGCGACCTCAACATCCCTCAAGATCGCCTACGCGATGAAGAAGCAAAGCTTTCTGCTGCAGAGCTAATGGCCTGTAGAGGAGCACTCGGCTGACTACAGTGGTTGGCTGTTCAGACGCAACCACAACTATGTGGCCGTTGCAACATACTGCTCTCTGAGCTTGTGAAGTATGGCAAAATGTCCTATGCCATCGAGATCCAAAGGATGATTTGCAAGTCCGTCAACATCCTGTGCAGCTGAAGTTTTTCAAGCTCAAGAAGGCCAAGACCTGGCGTGACATCACCGTGATCACTTTCGCGGACCAAGCGCACGCAAACGGGCCAGGTGGTGATTCCACCGGAGGTCTAGTGACCACGATGGCTGGCCCTGAGGCCAAAAGCGGACAGGTCTGTCCGATGGTGCTCCTTCAATGGAAAGCGTGGAAGCTGAAGCGCAAGTCCATAGGATCAAACGACGCAGAAGTGCAGGCGGCTCTTGATGGCGAGGACCTGAACTTCCGCGTCAGGTTGTTGTGGACAGAACTCCACGGAGCGGGATGGAACCGCCCGACAGCGGTGGATCATGTCGCCTGGGCTGAGCGACAATCCCGCGAAGTGGCTGGCTTCGTGTGCGCGGATTCTCGAGGAGGATTCGACGCAGTGCAGGTGAATGAATCACCAATGTTGGGGTTAAGCAACCTTCGCTCCGCCCTACAAGCACTACAATTGAGAGAGCAGATGATTCGAGCTGGTTGTTCTTTGAGGTGGTTGGCGAGCGACTACGACATCGCCGACGCGATGACAAAGAAACGACCCGAATGCCGCTTGAGCCTCATGAAATTTCTCCAAAGCTTCCTCTGGTGCATAGCTTTCGACCCCACCTTCACTGCGGCCAAGAAGAATGCCAAGCGTGGCAAGACAGCAGTGAAGCATGTGAGCGCCGGAGATGCACAAGCTGACTCTTTTTTGTGGGCTGATGCAACTTCCAGCCTTTCAGGTTCAGCTTGTGGCATGTTCATGTCACCCGTTTCTCTCGGCTCCACAGGAAGGGCCCTTCTTTGACGGCTCAGCCTCGACCCATGGCTGGAGTTCAGGCCTAGCGTGGCCTTGGAGAAGAAAAGGCGTGAGCAGGATCCACGGATCCTTTCGACTTCGGTTCGATAGCAAACCATCCGGTTGAGCCCCATCACCTCCTTGCGCTACCACCGCTACAGTGTCCCAAAACGCGTCCAAGGAGAGTTTCCCAGTTTCCCCACAAAAATGTTCCACAAAAATGCCCTACAAGAGTGTCCCACCAGCGTGTCCGGGAAAAGAGCATCCCACAAGCGAGTGCCCTACAAGTGTGCCTTACAATTGCATGAGTGTCGCACAAGAGTGTCAAACAATGGTTGGCCGTTTGTTTTCGATCACGTGCGTGCATTCGGGTTCGTGGGTTCCATCTTGGATTTTTGAATGCAGAGCACATTTTACGAGACTGCCTTCTGAGTTGCTGAAGCAGGTTCCGGCACTTTTTGGAGAGCTTCTCATCTGAACTAGCATGGATTTCTTGCCCGTGCCAGTCCAGATCTGGTTCAGGCTTTATTCGAATGGCTCCAATGCGGTTTCCTCATGAGCCTGGTTTGGAGCAACAGGTTTCACACTTGGTCTCCGTGCAGCGAGACAACTGACACAACCATTGTCCCTGAACGCCCTTGACCCCATGCCCAGCACAAGGTCTTGCGCCTCTTCAAGGAGCAGGCAGTTTAGTCAGAGCTTTTGTGTTTCTCTTCATTTTCATTCATTTGCATCCGCATGCGTTCTTCAAACCTAAATTTCCTAGTTTATTTTCTTTTCAGGTCGTTCCCTCTCTGAAGAACGTCTCATCACACAAGTCTGAGGGAGGAGGTGTCCGTAATTTATGGAGTACGTACAGTTGCAATCACATTCTAGCTGAATTAGCTTTAAGTCTCTTGAATGCACCGATTTGCATCAAAGAACTGAAGAACCCAGCTGAACAGTGGAGGACTGATCAGTATGCTCGCCAACTTCCGGCGACCGACCAGTTCTGTTTTCGGACTGTTTACCCAACCTGAAGTGCGAGAAGTTGTGCTGGAGGCCCATATGCTCCCATGGCTGATTTCCAGTTTTTGTAGCCCAGCCCTTTTGCCAGCTGGAACCGGTGATGTGGAAGATCTTTGTGGAGCTCTCTGGAGATGTCTCAGCCAAAGAGGCCTGGCAAGAATAAACCAAGGAAAAAACATCTTTCTGAACGCAACAAGTCTCAAAGGTTCTGACATGTTCTGACAGGTGACAGTGACATATTGAAAAAAAATGTATGAGTAGGAATACTTCGGTGCTCTCACGGAGGCGGTTGATGGTGCAGTTCGTGGTGGTGGCATATTTTCTGGAGCTGGTGGCCTTGGGGCCAATCCTTCCAACCAGGCCGAAGCGCTAAAGGGCCAAAGTAGCCTTTGTAGGCGAACGGCCGAAAAGTCTCGTGTCTTTTCCAACATTTTCCCATTAATGGCTAGTAACAAGAAGCTACTAGGGTGGAGGCCATCGCTACTAGTAACAAGAAGTCTCGCGTCTTTTGCCTCCTGCTGGGAACATCAAGATTTGAGACTTAGTTTTGTCAGCCCGTAGATTTGCTGAAACTGCCGAAGTGGATGTGCACTGAATGACTACTGTAAGTGTACTATTTTATCATTTGCACATCACCAATGCCCCTCTGTACAGCATGCCCTGGCACGTCCTCCACAATGCGTGTTTGACTCGTATGTCGAAAGCGGAGGTTCCACCTGTACACGGTGGAAAGAGTCTTGGATGCTTTCAGTTCTTAGTGTTTGGGGCCCTTTGGGGACACAAGGGAACCGGTTGAACTTAGGGACCTACAAAAGAGTGATCGGTTGTAGGCCATCGCTAGTAGGTTGGAGGCCATTGCTATTAGCTTTGTTCAATAAGAAACAACACATTTGACGTTTTGCGTCTCATGGAGTGCTGCAAACGATGATCCACAAAGTCACGAGCATCTCCAAGATCTTGCATGAAGCACTCCATTTGCTCGTTTGTACCTGTGTGATAAGCAAGACTTGAAATTGTAATCTCAGGAAACCGAAAGAGGCTTTTTCTCAAGCTGCAGAGGTCCTGCAGAGTCGCGGCTTTTTTCTCATGTCAGAATGCCATAGGTGCCAGATTTGTTGTGGGTGCAGGATCTAAAAGAAGAGCTTCTTGCAGGGTGTCCTCATGGAGCTGTTGCCGGGCAGCACTACTTCTGTGTGTAAGGGAACTTCAGCAATGTGGATATTAAGCCGTGTTGATGATCGTTGAGGCCTTAAACAGAAAGACAAGTGTCTGCAAAGCTTCTTTGTCCTGCTCTCTTTCTTTCTTTTTTGTTTGCAATCAAGGTTCGTGTGGGTGATTGGGCAGCCGCTTCACGAAAGCTTCATGTCCCTCGAAAGCAGGAACAAACAAATTGAAAGGCGTAAGTGTAAGCATGCTGATGAGAACCAGCTCTGCAGGTGCTCGCACGGCTCAATGTTGGGGCTCGCATCAAGGCAGCTGACTAAATGCAACCCTTGAGTCGGTGGAGAGTCGTGTTCAAGAGGGAACACAGGTGTGTAGAATAAAGTGTCTTGCCAGTGCCTGCATACTTTGTACCAAGAGTTCAACACCCTTCGAGGATGTGCTCAGATTTCTTGAATGCTTGGGTCTTTTGGAGAATACTCAGTGGGAAGCCTGGTATTGGAAGCATGTTGAGGCAAGCGGTTCTTTCGTCTTTATTCTCTTCAGCTCCCAAGGCTGTTGAACGACCAGAGCAGACCGCTCGTCGAGGTGCTCTCATTCTCACTCTACCATGTCATGCTTGACCAAGCACCATCCCTGTCAAAAAATACAAAAGACTCTATATACACTCCATGACACTTATATAGAGACCATGACGAGAAAAAGGTTGTGAGCTGCAGGCCATCAATAATTTTGCAAGGAATGATTCAATTGTGGCGGTTTTCATCGGCCAACCCTTTGTACACAAGTGTTTTGCCCAGAATGTGAAACAGATAACTACTGGGCTTTGACTCGGCGTTGGCATTGTTGGCCTTGCGTTGAACATGAAGGTTCTCTCCGGAGCTGAAGGGGATGCTGTGAACAATTTGTTGGGTTCTCTCCTCAGTTGAAAGGAGTAGTTTTGCAATTCGTTTTCTCTTGAAGCCATTGTGCCAAAGATACCTTGCTTGTCAAGGGCCAATAGGCAGCGGGCTAGCCCAAGAAGAGCCTGTCGAAGAAGAAAATGTCAGCGAGGCAAGGCTCCGCTTCTTTCGGGGTATAATTCTTCAATATTCCTGGGCATGGGCCGCCTGGGCCCATACTACCCGTGCGCTTGAAAATTTGTCAGGATGATGAAGGTTCCGGAGGCAGTGTTGCTCCAGAGGAGGACGAGGCCAGCATGCAGTAGCATGGACTATATAGTTGAACAGACATCTTGGAGCTTGTCTATTTTTTAAAGTTGGTTCAACGAAGCCTGGAAATCAGGCAGCAGAGTCTTTTGTGCTCAGAATTGTGCCCCCGAGTTCCAGCTTATGAGGATCGGAACAAGCTGCCTGGTCTTTCCATCAGCCTCATGCCGAAAGGTTCTTTGCTAGGCTGGGTCAAATGTTGGGCGAATCAAACCAGTCTTGGCATGTTTGCGTTTTAGAATTGACGAGCGACAAAGAAACAACTTGGCCTGCGGCGCCTGCGGTGCCTGCTACGTATGCTGGCTTTGCTTCAGCTCCGTTTGTTGGAGCAATTCGGAGCTGAAGAGAAAAGTGGAGCAGTTTGTAAGGTGGTCCACCTGCAAAGGAGGAGAGCAAGCCAAAGAGAAAAGGAGATAAGGAGAGAACTGAAAGTCGATCCCTCTACTGCTACTGTTTCTACTGCGAATGTCGTGATGAGGAGAAGAAGGACAAAAAGGAAGAAAAGGAGCTTCGCACTCCAGTCCAAGCCCAAGAGGAACAGAGCGGAGAACGTGTCGTGTCAGTGTGTTTCAAGCATTCTCGAATTGGGTTGACTGGGCCTGTTGTGATGTGGCATGAAATGAGAGTGGCTTTCCCAACTTGCTTGGTGATGCTCTCTTGCAAGCCACAAATGTCCACTGTAAGGACAGAGGTGATCATAACACGGAAATGACACACTGCTTTGTGAAAAGAACTCTTGGGAACCAACCACTTCACGTCACCAGCGCCCAGGGACTCGCGAGTCACTATTCCCTTGGTCCAAACAAACAGAAGCTCATTCCTCAATGTTATCCCCAGATAGCACGAGAACTATTGAAGTTCTTACTTCATGTATAGGAAGAGGTGCCTGTGTGCGCTTTGGAGCTTGGCCAGCCGCTGCAGCGCGTTGCCCACAAAAATATCTTTTGTTATGTGGGATCTACGCTGGCGTAATTTAATGGAGCGCAAAAGCTTGCAGTTGATAGACCGATGAAACCTTGTCGGGGAATGCCTGGAAAAGTGATGCGGGCTCATGGGACTGATGTTGAGGAGTCAAGTTGGTCGGCCAACCGCCGGTGGTGCCTGCAATGTTGGGCCGAGAAGCAAACTTACGCTCAAAGTCTGGGTCAACAACAAGATGCCCTAGACCACGAGTAGAAAGTACTGTACTTCGCGGGTGGTGCAATGAGGCAGCACTTTCCTGCCCATATTGCGAGCTGCCCAACACTTCGCCAGGTGCGCGGCTGGCAAGCACTGCAATGGTATGAGTCTGCCGACCAAGAGTTTTAGGGATAGTGCTTGTGAAGGTAGCCTTGTTTGTCCAACCGGAAGCCTTGGCATGAGCCTGAGCTATAGCGTCAACGTGAGGGGCCTGGTGATGCGAACTCCGATCCACGCGCACCAACCCTGAAGACGTGGAATACCTCAGAACAATCAGCAGCCTTAGCAAGTGCTGACAGGAAGGTCGTGATTATCAATTGAATTCTTGGATGGGCGGACCCTTTTCAAAATAAGCAGCCCATGGCGACGTCGATCGTGACGAAAAAGTGTTGAGAACCAGCAACAAAGCAAAATGCTCTGCTCGCTCTGGGTTGTCTGTCCATTTCTCCCTACGTATTCGCGCGATCCAACGCAATAAGCTGCAGAGGCCTTCTGCAAGTCTCACCGGGGACAGGGGAAGCAACTAGCGTCAGTTAAAATGGCACCCAAAGTGGAATGCTTTTGCAAAATTGGGCAGTGGCACGTGAAGTCTTCAATTTGCCAGCTTATATAGTAGGTCTAGTATGCATGGAGCCCTGACGATTCTCCGACTGCTCAAGATGAAGGACACATAATATATATATATGTTCGCTGGTCGCTGGAGGAAAGGAGCCAATCGCTCAACATCTTCAGGGGCCGCAACGCTCATGTCATGAAAATATTGCGTCAACTCACTATCATGCTCACACCGCATCCCCCAATGAGTTTCGAAAAAGCAAGATGGAGCCCACGAACCCGAATGCAAACACGTTCGAAAAGTGCTTGCATGTGTCATGTTTTTCTGGTCCAGCTCGCTAACGTCGAGGTTCGTCAGCCACATGAGCAGGCACGCAAGATCGAAAACACAGGGCCAATCATTGTTTGACTCTTGCGGACCGCTCTTGTGGCCACACTTCGACCTTCACCCCCGCTCTTGCTCCTTCTTGTCCGGAAATCTTTCATGCGACGGCGGAGTGTCACTGTCGGCCAAAAACAAATTGAATTGAACGAAATTTGCAGAGACAACTTCAGCCTTGCGCTTGTCGACGCGTCATCAAGCGCCACTGTGTCAATGACCGAGTCACGCGACACCGCGTCGGGGACTCTGCCGACGCCGCTGCGTCACTGCGCACTTGCGACTCTCCAACACAGCCTGTTGCGCCGCCGCCGGACAGGTCATCTCCAGGACCATGGCATGGCATCTACCACTTCTCTGCTGCCTGTAGCAGCTGCCGTCTGGACTGGCCCGTGACCCGCTCGCTGACCGTCGCCACTTCTCTGAAGAATAGTCCACGCTAGTGTCTCGCAGAGGAGGGTTCGTGCTACATATGTCCAAATGACACTCTTGGAGGACACTCTTGTGGGTCACTCACTCTTGTGGGACACTCTTACGGGACACTCTTGTGGGACACTCTTGTAGGACGCTCTTGTGGGACACTCTTGTGGGACACTCTTGTGGGACACTCTTGCGAGACACTCTTGTGGGACACTCTTGTGGGACACTCTTGTGGGACACTCTTGAAGGACACTCTTGTGAGACACTCTTGTAGGACACTCTTGTGGACACTCTTGTAGGACACTCTTGCGGGTCACTCTTGTGGGACACTCTTGTCGGTCACTCTTACGGGACACTCTTATAGGACACTCTTGTGGGACACTCTTGGAGGACACTCTTGTGGGACACTCTTGTAGGACACTCTTGTTGTTGGTCACTCTTACGGGACACTCTTGTAGGACACTCTTACGGGACACTCTTGTGGGACACTCTTGTGGGACACTCTTGTAAGACACTCTTGTGGGACACTCTTGTAGGACACTC